AGGGGTGAGGAACCTGTGGCCTCGAGGCCACATGTGACCCTCTAGGTCCTCAAGTGTGGCCCTTTGACTGAATCCATTCATGATCTGTGAAGTTTGGATTCAAACTTAAGGCCACAGGTTCCCCACCCCTGCTCTAGAGCTAGCAGCTCTGTACTACCTCCTTGATCTCATAGGAAGAAGTAGCACAGTGTATAATGGATTGGAACTGGAGTCAGGAAGACCTGAGTTCAAATCCTACCTCAGATACTATTAGCCATGTGTCCTTGAGCAAGTCACAACCGCCCTCTGCCTGCCTGATAATTTCCTCATTTTTAAAATGGAGATAATAGTAGTCTGTACTTCATGAGGTTGTTGCAAGGATCGAATTAGATAATGTTTATAAAGCACTTTATAAACCATAAAACACTATAAATGCTAGCTCTCATCATCATTATCCTATGAATATTTCTGATCTTGAACCAGTGGGAATGGCTCAATATTGTCACCATTGCCATTCCTATGCTGTAACTATTGGTCAGGAACTTGCTACCGTTGGCTAGACTTTTGAGGCCACCTCACGGCTCTTGCTACCTTCGGTGTACTTCAGTTAGTCTCCCTCACCCCAAATCCACACAAACCTGTCTGATGAATCTCCCAATTTCATAGCTGAGATCATGAGACCCTATGCCACTCAAAAGCATTCTATAACTCCCCACTGCTTATTGAATAAAGTCCAAATTTATTAAATGGGCATTCAGGATCCTCTCACATTCTATATCTACACTGTGCTCTTTTACTTCCTCATATATACCCTGACCTTCAGTTGCTCCACACCCCAAATACTCTGTTTTCCTGTCTTCCTAATTTATTATTGTGTTACCTAAAACTTGATTTTAATTTCTAGAGAAGATCCAGAATGTTTTATTAATAAGGTTGTTAGTGAACATCTAGAAGAAGAGGCAGTGATCAAACACAGTTAATATGGCTTCATCAAAAACATGTCATGCCGTACTACCCTCATTTCCGTTTTTGATATGATCACTGATTGGTAGATCATGAAAACTCCAAATGCATTCTGTATGTAGATTTTTAGCACAGCATTTGACCAAGGATTTCCTGCTATTTTTATGTGGAATGATGGAGAAATCGAAGAGTAGATGATAATATTATTGAATGGAATCAGAACTGGTTGAATGGCTATACCTGAAGAAGAGCCATTAATAATTTGAAGGCAATTTGGGAAATCTTAAGTGGAGGGCACCCAGAATCTCTGCTTTGCTCTGTGTTGTTTAACATTTTTAAAATTACTTATGGGTATAAAGGCACAGATGGCACGCTTATCAAATTTGCAGATGATGCAAATCTGGGAGGGCTAGCTAATACACTGGATAAGGGTCAGAATTCACAATGCTTTTGACAGATTAGGAAAGTAGACTGAATTTACTCTGGTGAAATTTAATTTAGATAGGTAGAAAGTCTTAAAGTTGGATTCAAAAATCACCTTCACTGGTACAAGATTACTTAACCAGAGCTAGATAACAGTTCATTTGATAAATAGATCTTGGGGATTTAGTGGGATCCTAGTTCAATGTTAGTGGTGTGCTTTGGTAGCCAAGAGAGAAAATAAAACCTTATATTGCACTGAGAGGTACAAGAAGATAATAAACCTGTTCATACCTGGTCGGGTGTTTTACCCTGGTCAGACCACATCAGTAGAAGAGGGTTCAGTTCCCTCATTTCTGAAGGGAATTGATAAGCCAGTGAAGATGCAAATGATGGAAAGCAAGATGGTGAAGGGCCTCAAAACCATGCCTTGTGAGGATCCTGACTCTGCTAGTTACTCTCTGGGTGACCTTAGGAAAGTCCCTTAAATTCTCTGGGTCTCAGTTACTTCATCTCCAAAATGGGGTTTGAGCTCTCTAGTATAGATCTCTGTCAGCTATAAATTGATCATCCTGTAACCAGTAAAGGTAACTGAAAATGTTTAGCCTTACCGAGAGCAATCTTGATTGGGGTATAATAGATGCGTTCAAGTATTTAAATAGCTCTCATGTGGGAAAGGGACGAGGGAAAGGGCAAGGAGAGAAGGAATAAACATTCCTAAAGTGCCTACTATGTTCCAGGCACTATGATAAGTACTTTTTTACAAATATTTTCTCATTTGATCCTCACAACAATCCTGGAAGGTAAGTACTATTATTATCCCCATTTTGCTATTGAGGAAACTGAGACAAATAGAGGCTAAGTGACTTGCCCAACACCACCTAGATGTAAGTGTCTGAAGCTGGATTTGAACTCAAAACTTCCTGCCTCCAGACCCAGCTGGAGTCTACTATTCACTATTCTACCAGCTGCTTCTAAACTTGTTCTGCTTCAGTCCCAAGGGAAGAACTAAAAATAATGTCTGCAAGTTGCGGAAAGGTAAAGTTAGGTTTAATATAAGAAAGACTTCCTAATAATCAGTTATCCCAAAGTAGACAGGGCTGTCTCAGCAGGTAGTGGGAGGACATGTCCCTGGAAACTTTCAAGCAGTGCCAGGATGATGACTTGTCAGATATTCTGTAGAGAGGATTCTTTTGTGTGTGTGGGTTGTACTAGGTGACCTTTGACGTCCCTTCCAACTCGTAAGAAGCTGTGATTTCCCAGTTGTCGTCAAAGTCTAGCTTAAATGGCACCTCCTCCACGAAGCCTTCCTGGTGCTATTAAGCCCAAACAAAAAACTAACATCACATATGGTACCTATAGTTAAATCTGATGGTGCCGCTTACAAGCTTTGTGAATCAGAACAAGCCACTAACCTTCTCCTGGGCTCAGTTCCCTCATTTATAAAAAGAGAAGATATGACTCGTTTATTTAAATCTAAGGACCTTTTCAGCTTTAAATACATTATTCTTAAGGAATGGAACCTATTTTTAGGCCTTTTTGTAACTCCTTCCCCCATCCCCTGTAAGGCCTAGCAGAAAATCTTTTACATAGCCATTCAGTAAATATTTATTGAAAGAATGAATACATTCATTCACGAGGGAATTGAGTTAAGACTTTGTGAATCCAGAGATCCTCTATTCAATGCAAGTATGCTACATTGGAGTGGTAATACACAAAGACATTAATATTTGCTAAAGTACTGGGGCAAAATAGTGGGCTATATTTAGCTACCTGTCATGGAGCATTGAGATGGACCCTAAGAGAATGGAATATACAACAAGCTCCTTTTGATAGAGAAGGGAAAGGTTAAGAACATATAGGGAAGGTCTAAGGAGAGAGGGGTCTGGGAGACTCTGGAAAGGTAGGAGCAGCATGAGAAACATATATAATAGAGGTGATACTCCAAGGATGAACCCCTACTCAACAGGAAATATTTTGCCTAGGGCCAGCTCAGGATACAAAGACACTATGGCTCTTCTAACTATTTGCTGTATGACCTCAATCCGTTTGCTTTTTGTCCCTCAGTCTTATGCATAGAGGATTCATGGCATTGACCTTCACAGCTCCTAGTCATTACTTCTTTCCCAGGTGTGCTGATATCCTGGCATCAAAGATGTACTATGAGAGCTGTGTTCAGCATTCTGTGGTCCTTTTTGAATTTCACAATAGTCTAAGTCTTACTCCTGGACATCAAGGAGTTAAAAAAAGTCTGAATAGGAAAAGTAGGGAAGAAGGAGGTAGAGGGAGAGGGAAGGAAGGAAGAATAATGCATCCAGTCTGTTAATCTGCATTACCAATTCTGCTCTCTTCTTTAGCAAATACAGCTTTTCCCAACAGACAGTGTCTCAGGGACGCTGTCCTGAGCCTCCCGCATATTGTCAGAAATGTGTGTCTGCCCAGCCGCTTCTGCCTCCTGAGTATCAGTCTGTCCTAGAGACGCATCTGTCTGAGCCGATAAGCATGCCCTGGAATGGAGCTCCTTAGAAACTGGCATTTCTAAGACATTTCAGGTGTATTATCTCCAGGGCTGGTGAAACCCCTTCAAAGAAACAGGCATCATTAACATGTCCAGCCGTCTCATGGCATTGGGCAGTATATAACTCTGGGGTATGGTATTTGAGGGTGAAACTACTGCGCCTACAGAGGGGAGGGAGAAGAGGAAGGAGAACCAGCTAGCTCTGATTATTTCTAACAAGTGCTTCTCTTAGGAATCCTGACTAACAAAAATGGTCCTCTGCCATTGTGTGTGTGTGTGTGTGTGTGTGTGTGTGTGTGTGTGTGTACGCGCACTTCCTCTCTCTCTCTTCCTATTGTTCATATTTAGGTTCCTTCCTCTGCTCCACTTGGTTCTTTCCTTTTGTTTCACTTCTTTCCTTTTCCCTCTGGCCTTCCAAACTTTTTTTTTTTTTCCTTTCATAGGTCCCTTTCGGCTCCCTCCCATTTTATAACTTCCTTATTGACTAACTATTGATATAATCCAGTTTGGGTCTGAAGGCAGAGTGGGGAGAAATGTGATGGCTAGCTAATAATTTTCTTCCAAGAGACTTGTTTTAATTCCAACATTATTTTACTATACTTGTTCAATCATTTGGTTAGAGCATGATGGTACTGGGCCTAAGGTTTTAGATTTTATCTTCAGTGAATAGTTCAAAGGCTGTGCCCCTCACTGACTCCCATTTGCTTTATGCTATAGGATTCTGTGTTCCAAAGTCCCTTATGGTTCTAAGATTCCATAATTCAAAGGTCCCTTCTAGCTTTAACATTCCATTGTTCCAAGGTCTCTTCCAGCTCTAACATTCCATTGTTCCAAAGTCCTCTCCAGTTCTAACATTTCATTGTTCTAAGGTCCCTTCCAGTTCTAACATTTCATTGTTCCAAGGTCCCTTCCAGATTTAACATTCCATTGTTCAAAGTCCTCTCTAGCTCAAAAACTCTAGATATTTTTATGACAATTGCATTGTGGTGATTAGAGGTGTTATTTTATGATCATCAGTGATATGATTGGGTAGGTGAGGGTGGGGTGTAGGGCTGGCAGCTTATATATCATATTGGGTGTCCATTCTACCTTAACATTGGCCCCATTGCCCACCTTGTAGCTGCTGAGGTGACACAGGAAACCGTGGAATCCCTGATGCAGAAGTTCAAGGAGAGTTTCCGTACCAATACACCCATCGAGATCGGCCAGCTCCAGCCAGCTCTCCGTAACGCATCAGCAGGAAGACGGAAGAGAAGGAGCAAGTCCAGAGGTAGGCCCCTCCGGAATTCGGTTGTGCCATACTCCCTCTGATCAGAGAAGTTAAAGGGCTTGACATTAGACCCTTTTACAACTATATACCTGATGCCACTGGGAGCAGTTTAATCCAACCAAAAGATTATCACAAAACAAGGATGTGTCCCCAGAATGTATCCTAAAATAAATATTTCCACATAAGTCCATGGAAATATTTTTACTAGTCAGGAAGAAAAATTGCTATCAAAGGTCTTGATTTAATAAATATTAGAAAAAAAAACCAATCAAACAATAACAAAATAATTTGCTACCTTCTTCTCAATGTATAGTAGTACATTGTACTATATTGTACCTCTCACTTGTAGCTCTTTTCTCTCTAGCTCCTTTTTCCTGTGCTTAGAACTATCCAGAGACATGATTACAATCTACTACCAGCTATGTACCATCTGTGTGACATTGGCCAAGTCAGTAATTATTGTTCAGCATTAGTTTCTTCTTCTGTAAAATGGAGTTAGATTAGATGAACTTTTTGTTCCCTTTCAGCTCTCCATCTGATCATTTTGATATTTGGTTAATTGACAATGGGAAATGCTGGAAGAGCAGAAAATACCCAAAACTCGGTAAAAGCAGATTTTAGTTCTTCATGTAGCCTTGAAAATACATTTGATTTGAGTGACATCATTCACTTCTCTGAGGCTTAATCCTTCAGTGGCAAAACCAAAACCTGAATTTGAACTCAGGCAGAAGACCAGAAGCCAGTACAGAAGTTGGAAACATAGTCTTAACTTTTGGCCTGACAATCATCCCCCTTATCTCTACAGCCTTATATTACATGGATCCTCTGTACTTACTCTCTGCTTAGGCCCTTCCCCTCATTGTCTATTCTTGTTCCCCATCCATTTCCCATAAATATGTGTGTGTGTGTGTGTGTGAAATTTCATGTTAAATTCTCCTTCTGCTTTAGCTGGCCCTCTGACATGCCCACTTCTCCATGTCGCCAAATTCTATCCATCCTTCAAGGCCCATCCCAACAGGTCTCTTGTTCATTAAAAGTACCTTGACTATTTCAGGCCATACTGACTTCTCCCTCTTCTGGATAATGTTTATATTTTGGACAACTTTAATCATATGTGTTGTTGTTTTAATTTCATGAATCGTTCTATAGTTATTTCATGTATCTAAGTCTTATGTATCCAACTGTCTCTATCCCTAATTTGCCTAGCACCATGCTGAATACAAATTATTTGGTTCTAGATGTCATATTTTGAGATATGCATTGAAAACTAGCATGCATCTGGAGGGGGGGTGGTATGATCAGAGTACTTTCAAACATAAAACACATAGATCAGTTCAAAGAACTTGGAATGATTTGCTTGAAGAAGAGAAGGTTAAGAAATAGGCATATTAGGTTTCTTCAAGCATTTGTAGTATGAATTTTGTTCATATTAGCTCAAGAAGACAGAAATAAGAGTGAGGTAGGAAAGAAACAAAGACAGGTTTCATGTTCCATTTGTGTCTAATGGTAGCCATATCTAGGGCAAGGAATGGGGAGGGGAAATAAAAAAAAAGAAATTTACATGATAACTTTATTACATATTTAAAAGGAATAGCAAATTGTACATAATAGATTTGCAATTTAACATTTAATCATCTTTTTTATTGATACTATGTTATGGAAATGCTTGTTTTATTCCATAAATTAAAAATAAAATAAATAAAAAAGATCAGAAGCAAAAATAGAATAAAATAAAAATTTTATCTTATTAATAAGAAAGAAAAAAAACCAAAGAATTTATAAATAATTAAATCTATCCTAAGATGAAATGGCCTACCTCAGGAAACAGTAGATTTTGTACTACAAAAGTCTTTGAGTATAAATCAGATGGCTGCTTGTCAAGAATACTGGAGAATATATTCCTATTTGGCTATAGATTAGACTAGAGATTCCATGATTATATGAAGTATTGGTTGGTATGACTTACTTACCCTCAGCCTAGACTAGTTTCTCTGCCTTCCTACTTTGCTTTTAGAAGCTTTACTTTTATGGAGCAGTCTATCCTCCCTAATTTGAGGGAAAAGCAAGTTCAATTATAAAACATGTTCATAGCTATGTCATTTTTAAAGACCCAAATAATAACAGTAATGTGGACTATTGACTAGCCAAAATTTTCTGGTTAGAAGTTCCTAGGGAACCTGCTTTACTGAATAGATAAGAATTGCTTTCAGTTAGCGTAATTAATTGTCATTCAAAGAGATGCTTCAAAAATCCTATAGGTTGATCTAGAACATTGACCCATTTTGAAATTATGTTTACAGAATTAATTTACTACACGAACTCTCTTCTGTTAGCTTTATTAGACATCATTCCCTTTCACACACTCTACCGTCCATCCAAACGGGCCTTCTTTCTGTTGCTCATGGAACACTCTATTTCTTGTCTCCATGCCTTTGTACTTCGAGGCTGGTAATCTCTTATTCCTGAAATCCACTCCCAGACACCTCAATATCTTGGAAGACTTAGTTTCTTTCAAGGTCACCTGAAGTGCCACCTCCTATGAAATCATCCCTGCCCCCAACCCCATTGCTAATGCCTTCTCCCCACAAATTTCCCTCATATATATTTTGTATAAAGTTATACATGTACATATTTCCCCAATCCCATTAGAAGTTAAGCTCCTGGGAGGTAGGAACTATTTATTTTTATCTTTCTATCCTCAGAAGCTAACACCATGCTTGGCTCAGAGTTGGAAATTAATAAATGAACACTTATTGATTAATTGAGTAGAGGCTGAAGAAGTGGAGATAAAAGTAGCCCATTCATTGTCTCTGTCCCTACAAATTTTGAATTCCTAGAGTCCAACCTACTAAAGGGCTTTATTGTCTTTTAGATAGATAATCTTTGCTCCCCAACACTGCCCTGATAACAGTTGGCCTTTTGGCCTGGTTCAGAAGGAGCACCTGGCATGGCTGTGGTTCATTAATTTCTGTCTTTCCCCAGACGAGGTGCCTAGTGATTTCTAGCAGATGGAGTTGGCAGTATAGAGACAATAGTGTTGAGTTTAGAGCATCATTAAAACTATGTCCAACGCTTTCATCCTGCCTTGTCTCCTGTGTAGAAAGCACAGTTGATATTAAAGAGCATAATATATTCATTTATCTCTAAAGGAGAAGGAATAAAAAGAATTAAATGTCGTCTCTAAAGTCTGGGGGAGCCAGATGCTAAGCAGTTGTCCAGGGATGACTGAACAAAAAGAAATGGGATTCACTTGAAACAGGAGAAATTTGAGGTAGATGGAAAGGAGAACTTTAACGTTTAGAAGATCAAACCCTAGAATAGGGAGGTCATAGAAACTTCACCTCTAGAAACCTTCAAGAATCAATATATCTATCAATATAAAGCATTTATTAAGTGCCTACTGTTTGTCAGGTACTGTGTGAGGCACTGGAAATATAAATACAAATAATAAAATAATCCCTACTTACAAGGACCTTACATTCTAATAAGAGAGAAAACAAATACACATATAAATATAAAGTGGGCAGCTGGGTGGCACAGTCAATAGAATGCTGGGCCTGGAATGAGGAAGACTCCTCTTCCTGAGTTCAAATCTGGGTTCAGTCTTTTACTAGCTATGTGACCCTGGGCAAATTACTTAACCCTGTTTGCCTCAGTTCTTCATCTGTAAAATGAGCTGAAGAAGGAAATGGCAAACCACTACAATATCTCTGCTAAGAAAATCCCAAATAGGGTGATTGAGAGTCAGATACAATTGAAAAGTGACTAAATACACCCACATAAATAAAAAATGGATAAATATGAGGCAGATTGGGAGGGATAATGCTAGCATTTGGAAGGATCAGGCATAGCATCATACAGGAGAAATCTTTAAGGCAGAGGAAAATATGGAGTATATTCTAGATATTGCGGGTGACCAGTACAAAATCACAGAGACAGAACAGAGACAGTGACATGTATGAGGAACAGAAAGTCAGTTTGGCTAGATCAGAAAGTATGAGAGGGGGAGCAGTGTACAATAAGGCTGAAAAGATAGGTTGGGACAAGGGTGCATATATACGGGTTGACTTTTGCAAGAAGTACCACCTCTTTGTTAGGAACTGAGGGAAAGGAGGAGAGAACATGAGATTTTGAGATGAAGAAGTAAATGAGATGTTCAGCCATGCTTGGTGGTCTGGATGTTCATCCACCCAAAGGCAAGAGGGTGGACACAATCAGAATGACAGAGTCGAAAGAACACTAGATTAAAGCCAGAACATGTGGGTTTCATTCTTAGACCTCCTCTACAAAATGTATTCTCTTCTATTCATCTCCTTCTATCTCTTCTGTCTCTATGAGTCCGTGATCTCCTATTTTTTTTCTGATAATCATTTGCCCAGCAATTGAGAACCAGCCAGAGAAGCAGGGGACTGCCTTAAGATATCATCAGCAGTGATCATTAGGCACTAGGTGCTCATTTGTCAGGGATGCTATAGTGTGCAAATAATTTGGGACGAGCAAAAATTTTGATAGAGTTGTATTTTGTGATAGTAGTGGTCATATTTAGGTGCTTCTGTGAATGCTAGGCTGACCTAGAATGTCTGACTTTGAGCAGATGAAACCAGGTTGAGATGAGTTCCCCACTCTTAATTGGTTCTCTTTCAATTGAGTGTTCTATTTTATGCTCTACAAAAGTTTCATTGTTAAGTTTTTTGGGTGTATTTTTAATTCTTTGGGGTTTTTTTGAGAATGAATATTTCTATGCAGAGGTTATAGCTTTTAATAAGAACAATTTAGTCATTCTTAGAGAATGGCATGGGGAAATCAGCATTTCAAGGATAATTTAAGCTCATTGAAAAAGTATCCCTCACACCCAAGTGTAAAGGAAAATGAATTTGAAAATGGAAAAAAGTGCCACAAAACTGGCAAATTATTGCTATAAAACAGTCTAATGAATTCTAAAAACAAACAATCAAACAAATGAAAAACCTTCAGAGGGACTAGACAGCCAGAAGAGGTAT